TACAAAGGTTGTTAAGGACGATGAATGTCAAATAGCCGAAAACTAATCTAATTATTAGTTCACTTTCAAGACCTCATTATGTTAATATTTGCGCTCTTGTAAACTGTTCTATCTCAAACTTTCAGGGAAAATGCTTTTGGAATAAAGACTGAAAGTGTTGTCAGAAGTCAAATGGTGGAGCTAAACTCAGGTGACCATGGTTTCATTCATTTATAGCCTATGTTTAGCTTTTTATTTCTCAGAATGATATTTAGACTTCAAATTTGATCCAAGCTGTGTTCATTTGTGAAGCTTATCATGATGAACAAAATGTACAAGAATCATCAACTTTTTTTTTCTTTTTTTTTTTACTTTTAAACTTTTTGTTGACTTTAAAAAACAAGTGGCCAGATCTCAGTCCAGCTACAGTTATAAACACAACTGCAGCTTACAGTAAGTCATACTCTAAAACCCTGAGGAAGTGGTATCATTATGTGAATTTGTGCAGCATGTCGCTGTAACACTATTGCAGATCTGTGTGTAGCCTCTGCTGTACATTTCTGTTTTCTCAGCCTATGCAGAGAGAGAGCGATCGAGAGAAGGCTGAGAGACGGTGAGAAATCGGCGTGAGGGAAGGGGGAATTTAATAAATTAGATCTAATATAGGCGCCGGGCTGGTCTCCTAGCAACCCAACAGAGCCCTGTCTGCCGAGGGCTGTGTGAAGACCTCCTCCAGCCGTATACTGAGACGACCCATAGAGCACTGCATCCCCTCCCTCTCTGTTGCTTTCGCATAGCTCTAGTGCTGTACTTCAAGAAGGGGAAACACACTCCCACAGACTAACCTCATATCTGTGTGTGACTCAGAGAGGAGTCTCGCAAGGTTGAGCAATTTGTGGTGTCTGTTGTTTGGTATGACACATCTCAGGTGTTCTTAAAAATAAACTAAATAGCTCACCGCCTTGGGTAAACACCACACAGTCTGGGGCATGAACAACATGAAAATGCAATAAAATTTTTTACAAGACATGATGTTTTGTCAATAAAAAAAGTGCATAATGACTAAACACTAGTATACACACTCACGAAAGTAAGAAACTTGAGCAAAAGTCTCCTTCTAATCTCATTGCCGTCTAGGAGAAACAAATCAGATTTTCTTTTCTTCCAGTGGGCTGTTTGGAAGTGTATAGCTGCTTCTGAAATCATTCACTCTATATTTAATGAGGCTGACCATAAAAACCAACTAAATTCTATGAAAGTATGTATCTATGTAGTACGAATTCAATCTGGACATGCTATGTCGTATGTTGGCGCTGTCCCGTGACCTACAACATCATAGCGTATACAAATCTTTTCCCACTAACCTCGTGAGATGACCGTCGAATGTGCATTTAATTTCGCAAAACCAGCATGTGATCTAGGTATATTTTGCCTAGCGTTTTATATACTGTGAATCTGGATATACTACTGGCTTTCACATCCTAGACATCTCTCTAAAATAGTGTGTAATTTAAAGTTCTCGATCGAAAATAAGCCTGTTCTTCTCATATTCACGTATTCACTACTTTTCAGAAGCTGGAGGTCAGTAAGATTTTTTTGAAATGAATACTTTTACTTCACAAGGATTCATTAAATAGAATATAAAATTCGAATAATACACTGATAAAAATGATTATGTGGTGGAGCAAATAATATGGAAAAACAAATGTAATTTCAACATGGAAAAAGTTAGTTCAGGCCATGATTTAAAAAAAAATAAAAAAATGTAAATTCTATATTAGTGCTCAATTCAACCTAGTAAAAATTAAAGCGTAATTTAACGTTATAAAAATTAAATAAAACCTACTCAACTTTTTTGATGCTCAGATGATGCCAACCCTGAACCAACATACAGAACTACCACATTTTGCTATAAGTTTGATTTCATCATATAATAATTGCTGTTAATAGTGTTCATCGTCTGTTTGATTACATCTTTAATTAATTTTTCCGTACATTCCTGCCGTATGTACATAAACTGACAGTCACCACTGATAAGCTACCACTAAATATTGTAGAAACTTAATTTTCTGTAAAGTTGCTTTACAACGATTTGTATTGTGAAAAGCGCTATACAAATAAACTTGAATTGAACTAATTGAATGCTGGTGTTATCACTAGTCTTTGCCGCATTTTTGAGCAAATAAACATAGCATTGGTGAGCATTAAAACTAATAAATAAAAATCTTACCAAACCCTGTTTGAACTGTATAGTACATGTACTGAACTGAAATCAATGAAATTAATAAAACAGCTCTGTATTTCCATGTAAATAGACACACACAGTGTCTGTTGCATCCTGTTAGGAAGGAACATCTTTCCATGTCTTATCAGCAAATATTTGTGATTCAGACGCAGACACCTAATACTCCACGCACAAGACTATCATGTACTTCCAGGACTTTAATTCAGTAAAGCACTCATGGTCATTCAGTGTTACCACTTGCACAGGAAGTGGAGTTATAAAGTGCTTCCTGTGGGTTGAACTGGGGGGTCATATTATTGATGTAGCGGATGTTATAATGGCTTAACTTTGCCCTTGATGCGTAACTGCATTGACTCTATAGTCAGTAAGTGTATGTGATTTAACTGCATGGACTCTGAGTGTGTGTGTGTGTGTGTGTGTTAGTGGGGGTGGTGCAGGGCGGTAACATCCCTGCAGTGTTACATTGTGCCCTCTTGTGGATATGAACAGACCTTCAGAATGGCGACTATTCGACACTAAGAACATATCGTATCAACAGCTTTTGATGAAAGACTAAAAAATATTTCCACAAAAAGAGAGTGTTACAAATACATAAGGAATACTTAAACATTTATCAATGCTATAGGTAAGATAAAAATACATTTAATGTATATATATATATAAATTATGACCTGCAAATCATGGGAGCATTTTCCACCTGCTGTGTCATAACGGTCTCCAGGCAACGGTCAGGCCACAATGAGTCATGTTTGAGAGGGCAGCTGTATTCAAGAGACTCATAAAAGAAGTTTATTATTATTAAAATTAACAATAGGCATCTGAGTTGGCATATGAAAAACAGATTTGTCAAAACTGGAAAAATATAAACCCGAACAAATGTTATTTACAAAATCTTTCTGACAGCCTCAATTTAATTCAAAATAATATTGACATTAAAATCACTGTTCCTTACAAAAAGAAGAAGAAGAAAAAAAAGCCTATTTATCACTGAATGCTTTTACAGAATATTGACTTTTATTTTGCCCGAATACTTAACAGACTGTGACCTGGGGCTCAGCATCTTTATATCAAATTTGTGAAAACTGTAACACTAGACTGCAGGTAAAGATAAGTGCAAGATGGATTTTAAATGACTGAGTATACAGCAAAATTTCTAAATGTTTTGGAAATTGAGGCACTTAAAAAGAGATTTTGCGGGAATCTTACAAGAAAAAGTTCAGGTTACATTAAGTGAAGCGTGTAATGTGAACTGCATGACCAGAGAACACACGTTTTCTGTTGCTCCACCTGTCTGTCTCCCTTCTGATCCCAACAAGTTTATAGTTTCATGAGGTAGAAAACAAACAAAATACCTGAATAATATTAATATTAAAGGGGTCATATGATGCTTTTTTAAAGATCATTATTTTGTGTATTTGGTGTAACAGAATATGTTGACATGCTTTAATGTTAAAAAAACACATTATTTTTCAAATACTGTACATTATTGTAGGTCCTCTATGCCCCGCCTCTCTCAAACGCTTCGCTTTCTACAAAGTCCCTCCTTCCGACAAGGGAAGTCTGCTCTGATTGGCCAGCTGACCCAGTGCATTGTGATTGGCCGAACACCGCAAGCACTCGTCGGAAATGTAACGCCCCTTACCATAATCGCGTGCATCAGCTTTCAAAATAAATGTAAAGACAGAGCCCGAAAGGTGAACAGAGTCGCGTGACAGGTACAGTGATGAAGCTGGTATGTTTGCAGTACACAAGCCATGGTTAAGACAGCGGACTCCACTGTGATGTGACCCTGTCTCTCTCTCTCTCTCACACACACACACGCGCGCGCGCACACACACACATGATGCGCAAAACTCCGCATTTGAACAGTCAACAGCCGTTTTAGGGGGGTGTGGCAGAGTCTTAACTTTGATAAAGAATATCTCTTTGGTTTTGAGACTTTAGTCTTTGCAACTTCAGGGATCTTATCTATGCACAATCAGCTTGTAACACTCCAAAGAGAAAGGAAAACTTGAAATCGCATCATATGACCCCTTTAATACCTGAATACCCATGGTTCCTGACGATATTTTGAGGTTTTATGATGCTGAACAAGTTCACAAGTTCGTTTACCTAATCACGCAATGATATAACGTATACACAATTATATTATTAAAGCACCCAATAATGATGTGAAATGTGGATGTTTTACATTTCTAAAGCATATAAAGTGAATAAACTTGAGATAACCAATGGTTTCTCACACATAAACAATGAGAAACCATAAAAACCTTCATTTCGCCCCTTCATTCAAGTGCTTGGTTCACGCATGCGAATATCATCGGCATCATAGGACCATATTTAGAGTCGGAGTGACTGTCAGAGACTTCTGAAAGTGAGTTTTGATTGAGTAATGTTGGAGATCTGTGCTGCTCGAGTCATGAACTGTTTCAGACGGTTTAGTCCAATTGGAGAAAAAAAGGTTTCAAAAGAATGATTCGTTCACGAACCAGAAATCACTCAGGACCGTTTGCATGAGGCTATGGATTACATGTAACATTGTTGTAAATAATGTTCATTTTCTTGCCCAGACTGATTGTTTCTGATAAGACCTCAATATATCATCAGGAACCAAAAGTATTCATTTCATGTTCCTTTAATAGGTTTTTTTTTTACATAATAATAATATATTTCATAGTAATTCATAATTATTATGTTTATACCAAAATCAAAGATGAACAGACTTTCTTTAAAAAATAAACATTTGAATTTTTCAAAATTTTTTACATCATCATGTCAGAATTATGTGACATGCAAACAGTAGTAAAAAGTCAGCAGTGGTGCAAATCAAACATCTGGTTTTCAAACCAAACTCTCAGGTCCAAAATTAGGATGCAGTGAAGATAATCCACTGACATGCACAAGCTAATGTTGAGATACACAGTTCTGCAGAAAGCCACTTTTGAAGAGGTCCTGACAGGAAGTACCTTCATCACCACTCTTCAGCTTATTGTTTCACAGACATGAAGTATCTTCTGATTAAAATCCTCTGGCTGGTCAGCATACACATAGTGTCCTGCACCTCGTATGGCCTAAAACCAAAGCATGTCAATAAGAAGTTTAACATTAGTTAAACAGTACACAGGCACAGTCTTAGATAACCAAGAAAACAATATTTGTATCAGAACTGTGGGTGTTTATTTTGAACCACTGCCACAGATGGTAATGTAAAACATTGCAATATTTTCTCTTGGGTCTTTTTGTTTATCTAACTTTCCTAATAACTCAAAGATTACACAAAGGCATTGCAGAACTAGACTAATTAGTCAGTCAGTCTGGAACACGAGTACATTCACTGTACAAAGACCTTTGTTTTTGGACTGCCAATTCAAGCAATTACAAATTGTACTTCTACAAGACTGCTTGCTTCCAACATTTTAATCTATTAGAATTTGTGCAAATTAAACTCCCACTGGGAGTAAGTAGTTAATTGTGAAAGTTATGCCATCCAGTCAAAGCTCCCAATGGCTGTGAAATTCCATAACAGATATCTTGCCTATATCATGCACTAAAACAGAAATACTGTCACGGGTGCACTGCTGAGCGGACTGAGGAGCAAGGAACGAAGAGAGACGAGGAGTACATCAATCCAAATGGGTTTAATTAATACAAAGGAACACTCACGCAATACATGTAGACATAGACATGAACATGACCTGAACAATACCGGACGCTGGAGCCCACACAGGGAACACTATTTATACACACAGGAGGAGGGGATGACGAGACACACCTGGGAGCAATGAAACATCAAGGGAAACACCTGGGACAAATGAACTTAATCAGGACAGGAACAGGAAACTAACCAAATATGGGCATAGGAAGGCACATGGGGAGCAAGACACACACAAAACACGGAACAAAGTCTGACAAATACTGTCACGTTGCCTTTAAAAATCATCCCCTTTGCATGAGAACTGAGATGTTCTGTTTTGCTCATACACCAGTGTGTCTCAAAATGGTCAAAAATAGTATTTAGCTGCCACATTAATAGCCTCTCTGATAATGACAAGGCATCTTGATAAAAATAAACCTCAGTCACTAATTTCTAACACTGTGATCCTTCAGAAGCATATATGCAGAGTAGTAGGTGCTACACACAGCCAGGAGCAGCGCTGTATGGCTTTCTCCTTATTACCTCACTGTGATTAGGTGTGGCAAGTTTCTGAAAACAGAATAAGCAATGTAAATGCGGGCAGCCATGTGTTCAAACATATGAAGGCGTTTTAGTGTGACGTAAAAAAAAAATAATACAAAAAAAAATAAAGATTACGAGAATAAAGTCATAATATTTTGAGAAAAAAGTCACAATTACGAGAATAAAGTCATAGCAATACGAAAATAAAGTCGAAATATTTTGAGAATAAAGTCAAAATTACGAGAATTAAGTTGTAGCAATTACGAGATTAAAGTTATAGGAGTAATATTTTGAGAGTATAGCCTATATTGCGCATGCAAATGGTCCGGATTGGGAGCACCGGGAGAAATTCCGGTGGCCTGGCAACTGATTTGAACATATGGGATTATTAGCAGAAATCATACTATGTGTCATGTACTCGCAGGGACAGCTTGGAAATAATATTTCACATCTTCGAATGCATTCATTATTTGTAGTGTACCAGCCACCCAATAATAGCAAAAATCTTTGTGCTTTTGGTACTTTTAATATAAAACAAAGCCTCAGCTTTCAAATTCTGTCAGTTTTATAGCGAAATACAAACAATATGTCTTACAATAATGTGTTTTTCACGCTTTTTAATGTCACGTGACAGATCGCTGTATTCGTCTGTTTAAGCGGCATGGGAATCCATCATCTTTCTGATTACGAGACATTCGTTTCATTAAATTATACTGTTTTCTTTGTGAAAATTCCATCACCTACTCCGCAAAAACGTCGGTGGCATCCAGCCTTTCATTCCTCATGTGTATTTAATTAAAAACAGCAATAAGAATGTTCTAAAGATTGAAGTGGGCTCCAACTCGTTAACTTAAGTTATATTGTTGTCTTTTCTGAGGTTAAGTGACTATTCACAAGCTGTTTTATTCATGGTATAATAAGTGCTTGGAAATAATATTTTACGTCTTCAAATCCATTTATTATTTGTAGCACGCAGCCAGCCAGTAATTGCGATAAGGTTTGTGCTTAACAGCTCAGCTTTCAAATTCTGTCAGTTTTATCGCGAAATACAAATTATAAATGTGTTTTTCCTCTTTATTACAAGTTATAGCGTTATATAAACATGAAGGAACATCAAAAGGCATAACAAAACAGTATAATTAAACGAATGTCTCACTGTAATCGAAAAGATGATTGATTCACATGCCACTTAAACTGAGGCGAATACAGCGATCTGTCATGCCACATTAAAGAGCGGGAAAAACATGTTATTGTAAGACATATTGTTTGTATTTCGCTATAAAACTGACAGAATTTGAAAGCTGAGACTTTGTTTTATATTAAAAGTACCAAAAGCACAATGTTTATTGCTATTATTGGGTGGCTGGCGCACTACAAATAATGAATGCAAGCATACTGTCCCTGCGAGTACATGACACATGGTATGATTTCTGCTAATAATCCCACATACTGTATATTCAAATCAGTTGCCAATAGGGGTGTAACGATTCACTCGTTTTATCAATGCATCAATTACAAACCCTGACAATGCATATGCATCGATCTTGACACATGATTTTTGAATCGTGAATCATCGATTTCGGACAGTAATCGATATAAAATGCTAAGAATCGAATTAATCGCGATTTCTATAGCGATTCAATGCTTTCAAAATATATATATACACATTAAATTACTACAAGCACGAATTAATGGAGACCTTGAACAGTGTTCGTGCCCTCACATTTCTCCTTCACGCGCTCCACTATTTACCGCCTGAGACTGTCACAGGATTGCGCTCGCGCTCCGTTTGTCTCACTGACACATTTTTTGAGCAGCTGATGTGTGATCTCTCCTTAGTACTCGTGGCCAGTAATGCTAAAGTGAAGTAGTTTTGCTTTTCTGTAGTTTTTCAATGGCTCTCGCCTCTCGGTCATACCGACGACATTACCTGAGCAGTCGTAGGTTGCTCATTTATTGCATGGATGGAGCAAAAATGTAAGTGTCTAAATCATATGCACAGTTTCATTGAATGATAAATGTGTTTTAACAATGTCGTTGAACCGAATGTACGAAGGAAACTGTTAAAATAACCACAGCATTAACAACAACCTTGAAATAAGAGCGCAAGGTTTATCTGATAATCAGATGCATGAAAGTAGCATTCGTTGCTATAGCAAACAGACATCGGGTGCGTTTTCTTTCAGAAACATCATTCGCCGATGGAGAGGAAAAGTTAAATACTATAGCATTTTATTTTATGAAAATGAGATGAAGTTTTCGCACTGAAAGAGAAGTGATCTCGCGCTTATAGAACTTAAGGCGTGCCAGGCTATCTCTGCAGCTAAGCTGAATAAAAAGCAGAATGAACTGGTGAAACGTTAAGACAATAAACACAATAAATAAATACAATTTATGAATGATGCAGTGTTAATTGACATATCATTTATCACAGTACAGAAACTATAAAGTATATTGTCTACCTAATTCTGTGCAGAAAATTGAAATAATTGTTTGTAGTATATAAAACAATCATAAAATTGCCATTAGGAAAAA